AAATTTTAAAATTTGAACCTCGGAAATGCTATTTCCTGCGTTTTCAGCCATGGATTCGTCCACAACAACTTTGCTGTACTAAGCCTAAGGAATACTTACTGTCCCTTATTTTAAACAAGGGAAAATCACAAAATGAGCTTTGATTAATATGTAATAAAACAAGATTTCAATAATGCAATTTTTAATTGCCCTCCGAAACAACAATGTTCCACCAAATATAGCTCTGTAGCTTCTCAATCGTTCATACAGATAGCTTGTTGGGGATCGGGTTGCATCCTCTTCAGAAATGTTTTAAAATCTAGACTCTCTAAACTGGCATTTTCGCATTAAAATCATCGTATATACAGTACGTTCAACTTGCATCCTGTAGATGAGCCTTTGAAGCTTAAATAGTTTGGAGCTATGTTATCAAAAAACGCACACAGACTCAACCATCCAAAAATACTTTTTCTACCATGCATATTAGATATGTATAAGTAACTTATAAACTTGTACATAATTATCTTAAGCCCAGATTTTCTCAGGGGGGGGCAACAATTTTGCCAGGGAACACCACTGGCTATCGTATGTCAGAAGAGGCTCCAAAGGCGGTAGAATCCCAGTGATGTTATCCACTGTTCACCCCGTGTTCTTTTAAGCAAATGTGCCTGCTCAAAAATGCAATTTCTTGCAAGCCTGTGGACACAATACTGAAGTGAAGAGCATCAGTAGAGTTACATGTAGAAAAAAATTTTTTTGAGCGCTCTCTTTTGCATGATATTTTTTTCTCGATTGTGTGCTGCATGATTTTTTTTTTCTTTCTCCTTGGGTTGCAGGAATTTTTTTTTTCGAAATCTTCCACCCCCCCCTCAAAAGTCAAATGGTCCGCCCCTAAATGCTTTTCTTGAGGCTCCTGTTCCTCATTCACTACCATCCCCACATATCCGTTTGACACGTCATCAGCCAGAACGTCAGGACTGAGCAGAGGACTGGGACTAAGACGTCCTCCTAAGTAAATAGATAGCTTAAGATCTGCGACGTCAAATATCTACGACGGCAAGTGGAAGTAAATTAGCAATATTTTTTGAAGTGCGCATGTGTCTCTCTCGATTGCTCGCCGTCCACCAAACGTCGACAGCATGAGTTTTGCCGTCGAGGATACAAGAGCATAACAAACGGTAATGAATTCACACGTCTCTTTAAAATTCAATTTCAAAAGGATGTAATTATTTATAGTTTAAATGTCGACGTCGTGAATGTCAAGTTGATGTTTATTTATTTATTTAGGAGGATGTTCCTAGTCCCAGTCCTCTGCTCAGCTCTGAGATCCTAGCTGACGTCGACGTCGTAGATCTTAAGTTACCTAATACTGGTTCTTACTTGATTGAACGAAATTAGTTCATAGTTAATTAGGTCAACTTAATTTCCTTTTAATTTATGAAATTATTCACGATAGTACAATGTTATTTCTTAATGCTACAGTGTTCGCCCGGGTTCAGCCAGTCTTGTCCAAGGAAATCTGACTGTAGATATGAAGAAGACAGCAGAGAGAATCATTTATGAATGTCTGGAAACGCGGGGAAGATTGGATGTCTTGGTCAACAATGCGGCTCAATTTTATCCAACTGAAATTGGAAAGGTTTCTGAAGAAATATGGAACGATTTGATTCAGACGGACATGTTTTTTTTTGTCACAGGTAGGATGAAATATCAAATTTACACCATCTACCCAACCAAGACGTAAATATTTAGCGTAGAGAAAATTTTAACATTTTCACTTAGGCCCTGATTACAAGAGACCTGCATGAAACGAAGGCGGGACAAATATCTAATTAGGTAGCTAATTTATTTCATCGTTCTTCCAGAATTCTTACCGGTCTAAATATTTTTTGTGTTTGAATTTATCCTGCGCGAATTCGTCCCAGCTTAGAAGTACTCCGTTCAGGCTACATAGTTGATGACTTTAGAGCTGCCTAAGAAATTTTTCAAGCAAACGGCGACTAGAAACAACACTATGATTGGTACGAAATCTCCCGCTCGGCTTCGTTCAATCTCATGTGAATTCTTCAGCCTCTGGAATCCATGGATAAAAGATAGGACGTTAGTCGGCGTAAGCCGTGTAGTTGCAGAAGTTTAAGTGTTGTACATTCTAAAAATGTTCATGCGGAACGTTTTTGCATTCTAGGCTGCATTTTCAAGCTTGAAAACATCAAATGGCTGTATTGTAAATATGATAGACATCCATGCAGATCGGCCTGTCTCTGATCATTCCGTCTACTGCATCTCCAAAGCCGGCCTTCAGATGTGTACCTTATCTCTTGCTAAAGAATTTGCACCTTACATTCGAGTAAATGCTGTCTCCGGTGGTGCTATACTCTTGCCCGAGACGTATGACGATCAACTGAAGCATGCACTCATCTCAAAGAATCCACTGAACGGAATTGGAAATCCTGGCGACATTATATCTGCACTGGAGTACTTGGTATCGAATGCGAAGTACGTCACTGGCCAAATAATACGTGTATATGGTGGTAGAACACTCTACCAGTAGAGTTGGACGATATTTAAAAATATATATCGTGATTATCGTGCAGGACATTATCACAATATTCGCCACGTGCAAAATATTCAGTTCTATAGATTTGCGCGGATGTAAAAATATTTAAAAGATACTGATCGCTGAATATAAAATGATCGAACGTTTGTAATGCACGAGAATGCGTAAATAGTAATCATGCACACTATACAAAAGAGCAAGGCCCTGGGTACGAGGTTGAGAACCCTGCTAAAGAGCAAGCCTTATTCCAATCGGAATTCCGGTATTGCGGAACGGAACAAAGGATAAAACGTGGGAAAGGGGATAAAACGCGGAATTGCGGAAAAAGAGATAAAACACGGGAAAAGGGATAGAACAAGATAAAAGGCGGACTAAAAAGGGAAATTATTATAATACACAGATCATTCGCCTGCAATAAGAATCTTGTATCATTTTAAGTGTTTTGAGAAAATAACATTAATTAAAACTACAATTTTTTAAAACTTTGGCTAAAGTTACATAGAAGTAGAATCTACTTTTCGCAATGATTGCAGCAACGCTGCAGCAACTTGCCTCGCAATATTTACTCACTGAATGACTTCTATTATCTTTTGGCACAAAAAGGTGAAAATCGTGCAGCCTTGTAAAAACAAAGTAGTTTCGCCCTTTCGCGTAAATATAATTTACTCGTAAAACATTTTTGCCTGCTCTGGACGTAACTGTTTTGCTGATATCTTATGAAATTACGAAATGATAGGGAGGGCTATTAGTAAAACACGGAGCACACAGAGCACAAGCACGGAGCACACGGAGCACACGCACGGAGCACAGGCAATAGGACAGGTGTAGTGTTGTTAAATAGAAAGTTAGAAATGGCATTGTACTTACTCATGTATTATAATTATGTTTATTAAAAGATCAGAATATTCATAACTTCTTATTTTGTTTCATAAATAGTTCTTTAATATTCGAAACAAATTCCACATCTGCTTCGTCTGCCATTGCCATGTTTACTTTACTCGTCCCAATCTACATGCTGCACGGCATTGCCGCCCCTCCTGGCAAAATAATTAGCAAGCGAGAAAAATTAAGGAGAAAATAAGAGGTTAGGAACATCGTTGTCATAAGCTGGATGCAGTGACACTTCCATATATGGCACAAACCTACCCAAAACTTCCATATATGGCACAAACGTATCCTCGACGCGTTTTATAACGTTTTATTTGACATAGGGATGACGTAATGCTGCTTCCCGCCTATGACGATTTGAATTAGTCATAGTCATGTGATACAAGATTGCGAAAGCCGATTCGCCCAGAACGATGACACGCCCACGAAACGCCCATAATGTTCCTACCCTCTTATTTTCTCCTTAACTTTTCTCGCTTGCTTATTATTTTGCCAGGAGGGGCGGCAATGCCGTGCAGCATGTAGATTGGAACGAGTAAACATGGCGATGGCAGACGAAGCAGAAGTGGAATTTGTTTCGAATATTAAAGAACTATGTATGAAACAAAATAAGAAGTTATGAATATTCTGATCTTTTAAACATAATTATAATGCATGAGTAAGTATAATACCATTTCTAACTTTCTATTTAACAACACTACACCTGTCCTATTGCCCGTGCACGGAGCACACGGAGCACACGCACGGAGCACACGGAGCATACGGAGTACGGAGCAGTAGAAAAACGAAAATCCTTTATAATAAAATATACTGTTTACTATTACAAATTTTTGTTATTATTAATAAAGATTTTTCGCATTATACACGTTGGGGAAGTAAGAAAATGGGGCTTTTAAAAAATATATATGATGCAAAAGTGCCAAAAGCCATAGTTGCATTTAAAATAGGATTGTGAAACTCGTTATCTTACATCTGTCAAGCTTATGTAGTTTATAATCTACTCTCTATATATTAGGCTATATTATATTATATTATATTCCGATGGCCAACGCATAAAGAAACACCTAGAGAACAGCCGATATATTTCGTTACCCCTGCCAAAAAATACTTAAGTACTCATCTTTCAATGTAGCGGATCGACTGAACATTAAAGCTTGTGATGAGAGAAGTGAATTTTCGGTTTATCCTTCGGCTCAGCTAGTGACCAGTGGCAGTGTGCTACTATAGACTTAGGGGCTGATTACATGGTGCCGAGCTGGCCCGGTTAACCGGGCTGACTCGTTTGTTTAGGGCCTTACTGTGGTTTTAAAACTCGCGTAAAATAAATTTGCGATAAGTAATTGGTTTAATATAGATGCAAAATCATCCTAAACCCGAATTAAAACTCATTTTGCGGCCCGAGGAAGATTTTCGTGACATTTTTCAGCCCGGTTAACCGGGCTGGCTCGGTCCATGTAATCAGCCCCTTAGGCCCTGTTTACACTATACCGGATTCGCTGGTCACGACATCTTCTTTTGCCGTTACGGAGCAATGGTTAGTAGCAAATGCTTATTAGTTTGACAGAATTGGCATGTTTATTTGGGTCTCTGAAATTAAAAATCTTCACAGCCTTTCGATATCTACAAAATTTGACACACTCCGATAGCAATCCGGTATAGTGTAAACGGGGCCTTAAACTATGGACAGTATCTGACGACACCGTCCCGCACTCATCCGAACAATTACTTTGCTAGTTTTTATTCCGCAATCTTGAACATTTCAATTGTGGGAGAAAATTCGGTTTATGCGCATGCCTAGAAAGAATGAACACGCAAATGTGTCTCTGCGCGTGCGTATTATATGAAAAGTGTGAACGAATGGCCTAGCACTTTGCTGGCCAACGATGCGTAACTCCGTAAGCCTACATTGAATTTCGGTAGCGTGAAGACAATAGATAATGAAGGCTGAAGCTTAATGAGGTTTATCATCTTATTATTATCGATTGACCATTGTCTTAGGGGATGTTTATATGGAAGCGAGCCAGCCCTGGTACCCGAGCTGGCTCGCATCCCTGAGATGAATTTCACCACGCGTTTACATGAAACTTACATGAAAGGCTCTTTGTGTTCTAATTTTTTTTTGGTGTAAACAACTCCATATATGGAAGTTGGTTCCTTATATGGGAGTTGTTTGTGCATTCTGAATTATCCTAATTATTTGCGCATGCATATTTGCTAAATTTCTAGCCCTACTAAGAAGAACACCGCGGAAAAACGTCTGCGCATGCGTCAACCTTACCCGTAATAGTATTGCGAACTTGATGAGAAGCTGTTCCGAACGTTTCCGAAGGCTCAAAATGGCGGTAAAAAAGAGTGAGTTCATTGTGCGTCTTTACAGCCAGATTTCGAGCGCAAAAATAAACATGTCATTCTAAAAACTAGAAATAAATACAGCCAGAAGGTTCAAGAAATTGTATTGTACAAGAACATGAACTAAAGGTGATTGTTGACAAATTTATCGTCTGAAGCATTTTGTTTATCAACTAACCAACGACAATTTCCGAATTTTCGTTTGAGATACATTTCTTTAAAAAAAACTGTGTCGCCAAATATAAAAAATTTTCGTGTTCACAATAATTAAACTTTAGGATTTATTCTACAATTTAAGTGGTTTAAGAAGCTTAACTTTTCGAGAGTTTTCTTAACTTTTTAGTTTAATTGAATTTTTGTTTTGAATAATTTTGCAAAATTTTTCGAAGTCGTGTCCGTTAAAATCAACAATTTTTTACATGAATTATATTTCATTCCATACTTTAAATGCCAGGACGCTTTCAATTAATGTCTAGTCTACCCATTTGCTATATTTTCTCGTTTGTTTTACTAATTTTTGACCAATTAATAAGCATAGGCGGATTGTATTTATTCCTAGTTTTTAGAATGACATGTTTATTTTTGCGCTCGAAATCTGGCTGTAAAGACGCACAATGAAGTCACTCCTTTTACCGCCATTTTGAGCCTTCGGAAACGTTCGGAACAGCTTCTCATCAAGTTCGCAATACTATTACAGGCAAGGTTGACGCATGCGCAGACGTTTTTCCGCGGTGTTACTAGGAGGGCTAGCCCTCCCTGTTGCATTTATATGGAAAACTACCCAGCCCGTTCACCCGAGGTCTCGGGTCACACGAAGAGGGACCTCGGTTAGGCGGCCAGCTCGGTTCTCATATAAACGCAACATGAAATTTAGTAGGAAATATTAACAAAGACGGGATCCCGCCTAAAGCGAGGTAGCTCGGGTACCCGAGCTGGCTCGTCTCATATAAACAGCCCCTCAATCGCAATCGACGCCACCGAAATTCGGCGTATAAAACGTATCTAAAATATTGCCACCGTGTAGTATATATAACTATTGACCCATTATTATTATTACGAAATTAGAATATATTTGTAAAGCAGACGATTTTTGAGCAGCCTCCCTTATATAAGGGACTGGTCATAAAGTAACTGCTAGGGTGGGTATAGTAATGTACGTCTATTAATCATTAACGCACGTATTACGATTAGTTTATATTTAGAATATGGACATTATATATTCAGTATGTAGCCGAGATATCAAGAAGTCTATTAAGAGGGGGGGGGGGGGGGAGGTACCAATCCTGAAACACGAGAAATAATATGCAGCGATCTTGAAACATGAAAAATAAAAGAAGGAAGTCCTGAAGCACGTAAAATAACAACTTTATTACGAATCTGAAGGTCTGGAGGTCTTAAAAGTGAATATAAACAGTGCGTACTGGGCGGTGTGTTCACCTATTTGTTTACAATTGCGTCGATGTTCGTGATTTATAAAATTTGAAACTTGCGTTCCCCAATCAAAACATAGTTAAAATCCAGAAACAAAATTAATGGAATATATTATCCAGAAACGAGAAATAACCGTCTTAAATACAGCTGAAAACGGAGAACGGATATTGAATACACCGCAAGCACGATACACGGCATCCAGGTCGGGATCGAAAAACGTTTAATAAAAGATGACTGAACGAAGAACGAATAATTAAATTACCCCAATACGGAGCACGAAAATACCCCATTACCCCCGTCTATTAAATAAGCGAACATTATAATGGCGACGAAGATAAACGTATTCTATTAAACGAAACGATGGTGGAAGAGCAGGCAGAGCTTCAACCACTGCAGCAACCGGCTGTACAGATCATGCAATCTATAACAATAACTCCAATGCCAGAATTTTGCCCAGATGCAAAAATCGGAACAAGCCTTTCGACAATTAAGATGGAACAATTGGCAGTCAGACTTCGAAATGTATATAACCGCAAGTGGAATCACGGATTCAAAGCGAAAACGTGCACTCTTGCTATATCAAGCTGGATCGAGAGTTCGCGAGATTTTTAAACAAATCCCCGAGACAGGAACTGATACGGACTACAATATCGCGAAACAGAAATTAAAGGCTTACTTCGACCCTCAAAAGAATCGGCGGTACGAAGTTTATCGTTTTCGACAAACAACATTGAACATTGAACATTTTTTTCTGTGTCGGTGTAGTGTACTAAGGTGAATATGATATTTGTGGTGTTACTCTGAGTGTATATCCACACCGGGCGAGCTTGAAAAATATGCCCGGCCACGGTGGGATTCGAACCTACGACCTTTGGAATACTAGCCCAATCCTCTTCCAACTGAGCTACGCGGTCAGGACGGTTCGAGTAAGTGATATTTCGGAACAGAATCTAGTTCCTTCGATACCAATGTATTCTAGTAATATGAATTTTTTTCTGTGTTGGTGTAGTGTACTCAGGTGAATATGATATTTGCGATGTTACTCTGAGTGCATATCCACACCGGGCGAGCCCGAAAAACACGCCCGGCCACGGTGGGATTCGAACCTACGACCTTTGGAATACTAGCCCAATGCTCTTCCAACTGAGCTACGCGGTGAGGACGGTTCGAGTAAGTGATATTTCGGAACAGTATCTAGTTCCTTCTATACCAACGTGTTCTTACTAATATGAATTTTTCTGCGCTGGTGCTGTGCACTCAGGTGAATAATATGTTTGCGATGTTACTCTGAGTGCATATCCACACCGGGCGAGCCCGAAAAAC